GTAGTCATTCATGGCTGGGGTAGAGATGGATAAGCTAAGGTAGTCTTAACAGTCTCATACTCATGGCCGTTGGTGCTGATTGGTCAGCAGGGCTATTTGTCTCTGGCAGTGAAGCTCAAATTTCTTCACAAGTCCCAGGCTTCCATGATAGAAGCAAGCAATCCGCAGTGTATATCCTTCTTGCACCACACTTGTCAATATTGGAAAACCAAGATACCTGGCCAAGCAAGTCAGGATAGAATGTACCATATAAGGCATGACTAAAGGAAGCCATACTTCAGTAGGGCCAATACTGTTACCATCTTCCATCAGGTTCCATCAAATACAAAATTTGAGAAACCTGCGATGTTCGTCTTGTCAATCAGATTACTTCTGAAGTCCACCATTTACTTGCTAAATCAAAGAATCACTCATTCCTAAGATCCAGTCCAAGTTACTGGGGCCTCTTGGAAGGAAATCAAAATACCTTTTTTATGAATTTTTTTAATGTTACTGCTGATGTTTATTCTTTTCTGAAAAGGACAAAAAGTATGAAGAAAGTGTATATACATGCATGCATGCACCTCTGTGTGTGTGTGTGTGTATATCTGTGTGTGTGTGTGTGTGTGTGTGTTTGTGTTGTGTAGTGTAAAAGGCCTTTTGGTGCCTCCTAGTGGTAGAAACAAGAAGTATCGTGATGCTAAGATAGTATTTCTTGGTGCCTAGATTTGCTCGGAGAGCTGAGCCCAGAACAACGCAAGCATGGGCTGCCATCATTAAACTTCCTCCCTTATTGCCCTTTTCGTTACCATGATATCCAGGCAACTTCTCCTTTGATGCTGCCATTGAAACAAATTTCTGTAATCATCATTACATGTTCCCTGTTTCTACTCCTTGGCCTTCTAAACAATGTCATTCTCTAAGCTCTGACTTGTGTTCTTTGCCCCTGGAGTGGCCATCTCCTTGCATAATTTAAGGGCAATAACATTCTTCCGTCCTCCTTCAGCTATCTCATTTCACTGTACACAATTATGTAACACAAAATAGATTTTGTCCCAAATGTTCAAAAACTTCTCAATCTCTGAATTTAAGATGCGATTTATCGCTTAAAGGCCCTCTTTGCATTTTAAATACTTGTTGCACAACTGAACTCTTGTTGAGATAAAAACTATTGCTTTTTTTTTATTTGAAGAGTTCTGAGTCATGGATCAACTGTGTGACTGAGAATCATATGGGCCACCTTCCTTTTGATGGACTCAGCCTGGTGGAGTCCTGAGGGAAACTGTCGTTTCATTTCTGATAAAAATTCACATTGCATCCCACATGTCCAAAAGTTTCCCTGTATTCACTGAAACAAGAGCGGACTGAGAGCCAGTTTATTTCCTAAGAGGCCATAGTGACTTTCCCTTCACATCACTGGACCTAAATTTTAATTGCTCACATATTTTAAAATATTTTTCTCACAGTTTTATTTTTCAGTATTGTGTGTGCATTTGTTTCTCTGATCCAAAAGGCTACTTGGCATGTGTTAAAATTTGAAGCCATTCTCTATGTTCCTGAAGTTTTCAGACAGGAGTTTAAAAGGATGCCCTAGAGAAAGCATGTTTCAATTAAACCTCTACCATTTTTTTTCTAAATACATGAAGTAAAGACTCAATTCATTAAATAAGGGAGAGTAGGTAGTTTGGCAACTCCTCAGAATGCTGTGAGGGTTACAGGATGGAGACAGAACGTTCAGATAATGTCCTAGTTTAGAAGAGAAACCCATCCATAGGCATTGAAATGTACATTTGCAAATGAGAACACAGATTTCTGTCATTGCTACCAAATAAAGAATTGTGCCAGCAAACTTCTACATGATAGCCTCACTAATTTAAGAGTGAACCAAATTTGGAGCATAAAAAAAAAATGTTGTGGAGAAGGGAAGCTATTTAACCACATGCAAAAATGAGAGCATATTTATTACATAGCTCAATAATAGTGTTGGTATGAAATAGAAAATTCATTTCCTTTAAGTATGCAGAAAAGTCACATATTTCTATGGCCTGAAAACTAAGGAATCTTCATGGCCATGTTAATTTTAGAAGTCACCCCAGGGATAACAAATGTTTTTAATTGCAATGCTTGAGGACTGATGGGTGATATTGTGAACAGTGCTTGAAAGCATCGTTCATGTGTCACACGGACACAGAGCCACTAGCCATGCCGACAGTGCATTCACATCCCCAGGGAAACAAAACAGAAAGAAGGTTTGGAAGAAATCAAGCAGGAAGTAGACAGGCCAATGCGAAACTGGAGAATGGGACCAACACGGAGTTCTGAGGACCAGTTCTTACGTAAAGTGGAATAAAAAGGGCAGAAGAAATTGTAAAGAAATGTTGACGACTCTTGTTCGTTTTTCCTGGGGAGAAGACAGGATGACACACTCCATGTGTCATTTACTGCTTAATAAAGCAGAATGTACCTAGCTCTCTTCTTTTGGCTTCAGTGTAACATTGCCCAGAATTGAGTCCTTTGGGTCTGAAGTTCAATCCACAGACTCGGTTCTATAGACAAATCACACAGCTAGATTTTCCCTGGAACTATTTAAGCCTGACAGAATACAGAAATACTATTCCTAATATTATTTTCTGTGCAATTCATTTATTTGTATATATGCTGTGTGTTATTTATGTATGTGTGTATTGTTTACGATGAAATGTTATATTTAAGTGCTCTCAAAGCATAATTACTTTGAAATATGAACATTTCAGTGTGGAGTGCATGACAGGTAGTTAAATGTATAAAAAATTCCAAAAACTAAAGAAAGGAAAATGGAAAGCTGCTACCAAACACTTCAATTAATCATCAGGGACCCTTTGACCACTACTGGGCTGTCTTGTCCAGCCTTGATGTGATGGTATGTGTTCACTGTTATTTTAGATTGTTAAGACATGTCCGATTGATGTTCTTGGGAGGCCTGCTCTTTTCTGGGGGGAGGCAGAAGATGGGGTTGGTAGGTTGGCGAGGGCAGATGGTAGTGGTGGTAGTGGTGATGGATCTGGGAGAAAGGGGAGGAAGGGGTGGGGTGAGTGGGTGGGGAGAGCCTGGGAGGATAAAAGGGAGAGGAAACTGTGGTCAGAGCGTAATATATGACAGAATAAAAAAATTAAAAAAGAGAAATGAAGGGAAGGGAAATGTACTTGACACAGACAGAAAACATGGGAGATGATAATTTAAATGTAACATCAATCAATTATAGAGCAGGCTCTGTTTGTGTGTGTGTGTGTGTGTGTGTGTGTGTGTGTGTGTCTTATAAACAACCCATTCTTGCAGGGAGACGAGGAAAAGGTCTTGTGTAGGCCAGCTTAGATGGCCTCTCATTACACAGGTGAGGATGGCTGTAAACTGACCCTTATACCTCCACCTTCCAAGCACTGATTAGAGCTGGCACCTGGATCTAGTCCCAGTCTCCATGCATGCTACACCACCACTGTACCTAGTAACAACAACCCAGAAACCCATGTTCAGTATGAATACATAAATGGTTAAAAATGTGAAATATCAGTAAAGGTTATAAATACTAGAGCTGGAGAACACCAGGAAATAAGAGCTGTTGTTATAGTGACACAGGATAGATGATAGAGCAAAGAATATCACGAGAAATAATAAAAGTCGTTTCCTCATTATAATGAGGCAATTCATCAAAAGCACAAAAATTCCAAATAGTTCTGCTCTATTAACAGGGCTAAAAATCATGATGCAAAAAAACCTGATAGAACAGCAAGAACAAATAAATATAGAAGTATCCTCATAAATTTCAATACTCTTAATAATTGATGGGTTCATTTGAATTTAATTTGTAGACAGGTTAACCTAAAACATGCTATTCAAACTTTTTGTAACATCATTTCTAAACAAGATTATTGTGCCTACTTTGTTTCCTGATGTATACCTATTCATAATTAAATAATTAATTGCAGGATTTCTTTTCCCCAATCTCTAAAACTCAAAACTGCTAGTGGCTTTTAACCCATCCCTGCAGAAATAAAGGTTATAACTATGGTGATATGTTCACCAGGAATTTCACCCAGTTATAGTCTCAGTTTGCTCCAGCTACAATTATAATTCCACTTTGAAATGCCATGTGCAGAAAATGGGGGTGGTAACAGGCTGCTGGAGGGACATCTGATGCTAAAATCTGTATTTCTAACAAACTGTAAAAGTTACATGAGATTCTTTATATACCCTGTGCACTTCCCTAGGGAGGATAGATAAATCTTTCTTCTAGATCTTTGATCTTGCCAATTATACAACATCTACACCCTCAAAAATATTTCTCTTAGGGCTAGAGAAATGGGTCAGCAGTTCAGGGCCCATATACTCTTCCAGAGGACCAGAGTTCAATTCTCAGAATCCTGTCAGGGGGGTCACAACCATCTATAATTCCAGGACCATGGCAACTGACTCCCTCTTCTGGACTCCACTGGCTCCTGCACTTATGTGCACATACCCATACATAGGCACGCACACACATAAACAAATTTTCATTTTAAAATTTACTCTAGTGTATTCTATTTCGTAGTCTCTGAATAGGACATGAACTGCACACAGTAGGTAGATGCTCAATGAATACATGTAAGAGATTAAATCAAAGACATTGCCTGTTACATTTTTATTACATTTTCTGATGGTAAAAGATCTCTCTCAACTTAAGAAAAGGCCATAAACCTGAGCAACATTTTCCAATAGATCACTCACTAATATGAATGCATTTCTCTCTTATGGTAACCAGGTGACCAAGTGGGACTGTGAAGGACCTTTGCTGTGACAGAACAAAATTGCAATCTTGATATTCACAGAGCTTCTTTTCCCACATCACTGCAGTGGGAAATGCAATAAGAATTCTACATTTGCTTATAGATAGCCGTACTGGAAAATGACATTATTTGACCACTAAACAAGATTGTGAGTTTCAAAGCTACTACTACTGCTTTTCGTGTTCACAGTCCTTTAAATGTTGTTTCTCTTGTGTCTCCCAGGTCTCCTGTTATGGCTGGAGGTCTCTTTGCAGTGGATCGAAAGTGGTTTTGGGAACTGGGTGGCTACGACCCAGGCTTAGAAATCTGGGGCGGAGAGCAGTATGAAATCTCTTTTAAGGTAAGACTCCCAGATCGTCCTCACTCCATACTTACAGGCAATTCTGATAGAACTTGTCACTTTTCTTTGTGATCTGTGTTGGAGCTATGACTCCCAGGAGATCTTCTTACAAGAGAAGCGAATTCCCCCATGTTATAGTGGGAGACACAGGCATGCTATGTGCAAAAAGAAACCATTTACACTACTATTTATAGGTGAGCAAATCTCCATACCTACACCAACTGCTCCCCTGGCAAAGGTATTCATCCTGGAGTGCTTATAGCATAAAGGACAGGAGAGTAAAAATGAAGGAGGAGACAGAGATCAGGTCAGTGGAGGTCTGCCATTCATGGTCAGACAAGACAGTGCAGCTGAGATTTTGGTCTTACCCAGTTATAGCAAAACTCCTTGAACTGATAATAAATTTAATTTTAACATATCAATGTTACATTGAAAAGCAAGTTTTAATGTTTTGTTTAATTACTTTATTTTGAGACAGGTTCTTAACTATAGCCAAGCTGGCTAGAAACTATACAAACCAGACAGGCCTCAAACCTGTAGTAATGTGCCCGACTCACGCTCTAATGTGCTTAGGGTTTCAGATGTGAGCAAGTTAGGATTTCAGGTATGAACAGGGTAGTCCAGGTTGAGAAGGTTAGGATTTCAAATGTGAGCAGGTTAGCAACAAACAAATCTTGTACTTATTTTATCTGGAACTGCTCATCTCTCCACTTTCCTTAGTGATCAATTCTCAATAAAATGCTATGCTTTATCATATATATATATATATATATATATATATATATATATATATATATGATGTATGTGATAAAGCATAGCTATATATACATATATATATACATATATATATGTTTGTAATTTAGTTTCAGATTCATGACATTCAAATAAATGACAAATTACAACATATGAAAAATAATTAAAGTAAAATAAACTGTGAGATCTCATACTCCAACTTGCCAATAGGATTTTGTAATTCAGTCTTATAAAGAAAAAAAACTTCTTTTCTTTCTCTCATTTTAACCATTGCTTATATAGAAGCAAAGGCTGACTCTTGTGACATTGCCGTATGGAAACCTCCTATGTAAGTCAGCCTTTGGTGACTGCTTCCGTTGCAAAGTCCAACAGTGCTTGTTGCAAAAAGAAAGTACACACAATTAAAGTCAAACCTAAGAATCCAGCTACGATTTTTAGAATCTATGAAGTGTAAGAACAAGCTGGTTTTGATGAGACTGTAACACTAAGTATTAACAGAACGTTATACTTTTCTCAAGGAGTTACAAAATAAGTATCTTTGAAAGAAACAGAGGTGTCATTGCAAACTGCAGGACATCTAGAATTTTCCATCTCACCTTTAAATACCAGTTACTAAATTGGTGCATTTTTGACCCATTCAAACATATAATTTTGCATCTAGGTTATTTTTCTCACCTTTTCAGATGCATTGTTTCACACCTTTGAATCTGTCAGTGTCTTTGGGTCCCTCTATTAGGGCAGCTTCTATATGTCATGCTGTGGTAGATATGCAGAAGTTAATGCAGCAGTAATCGTTGTATAACAACACAACCACGTTCTTAGTGCTATACACCAAATGCTGGACTGTATACTTCTGTATTAGCTGATTTGAAAGAAAATAACCTTAAAACGTGAGCATTATTCCTCCATCGTACAGTTGGAGAAACTTACAATTCTTTTAAATTGGATTTCCTTAGGCCTTAAAGATTAAATATAGACTATACTTTCAGAGATTATATTTATGGTTTGTTCAAGATGAAATAGTTATCCATTACCACTTAGAGATTAAAATGCTCCATTTCAGCCTTATTGCTAAGACTATAATAGACAGGAAATGGATTACCACTTGTGATAGTTTAAATGAGAATCATCCCAGATGGAATCCTTGGTCCCCAGTTGGTGGAAAGGATTAGACTGTGCAGCCTTGTTGGAGAAGGTGTGTTAGCTTTGAAGGCTCAAAAAGCCCACACCTGTTTCTACCTTGTGCTTATGGATTACATGTAAAGTCTTTGTTCAGGAGTCATGCATGCCTGTCCCATGCCACACTCCCCACTGTGAGGGTCACGGACTGTAATCCTCTGGAACTGTGAGCCTCAAATTAAATGTTTTTCTGAATAAATAGCCTTGGCCATAATATTTTGGCACATCGATGGAAAATTAACTAAGACAACATCCAATCCCTGAAAACCCCCACTCTCAAGTTACCTGTCAGTCCATTGGCCCCTGCCTAATGAGTTCTCCCACATACGCAGCTAACAACTTAGAATCAGTCCCTAGAACGTATCTATAAATAAATAAATAAATAAATAAATAAATAAATAAATAAATAAATAGTAGAATGCAGTGGTGTCTGTCTGTAATCCCAGAATTCCTAGAAGGTTAAAAAAAGAACACTACCTGGAAGCTTGCAGTTCAATTAGCCTATAGATAAAGCTTAGATAAAACATTTTAAGATAGAACATTGCAGTTAACCAGGGTATTTATAAAATCCCTGCATTGCTGTCTTCTTTATTTCTACCAGACTTGAAAGAATGCATTTACTTTTTGTAGTTCAAGACAAGTCTGTGATATTCTCTTAATTTGTGAATGCCTGAAGTTTAAAATGTTAAGAGAATTTCTAATAAGTGAGAGATACTCGTCATTGAGTAACAAGCAGTATGATAAAGCAAGATTTCCCTTGAAAATCTGAAGACTCTTGATCGTACACTTGCATTCTAAATCACAAAGGTACATTTTTAAGCAAGCAGAACTTTCATCTCAATTCAATGTCACTTGTGCCTATCACATTTCTTCTGGATGACCCAAGATTTTGTTACCCCCATTTCCTATGTTTCAGTTGTCTGTCATTGTATAGGATATAATTGGAATGCAGTCCTGTCGTCTTTGTCTAAAAACCATGGCAACCACATTGCAAGTTCAGGACTGAAATGCCCTAGGTTGTTTGGTTGGGATGATAGATTCTTTGGTGACAGTTATGTCTTAGCAGGGTTCCATTTCAAAACATGTCTCTTCCTTCTTCTTGATCCTGTTTGCTGACCTTGGGGTTCCTGTCCCTCACTGTTAGTATTTATGAAGTAGATAAATTTGATCAGATTCTTAGACTATGCATTGAAACAAGAGTTTGTGCAAAAGTAATCAATCAAAGACATTAGACACAAATAGCCCTATGAATCACAATAAAAAGAGAGAAGAAAATCAAACATCTGATTTGATTTTTTGAACATATTTTATAAATCATGATTAATTTCCAGTGCAAAGTATTATAAGGTTCAGACTGATCCGCATTTAAAATCTGTGAAACAAGGGTGGTTGATTGGTCCTTGCTAGTGGCGTTTTACACCTTAATGCAGAAACCACTCTAAGTGGCAACTTAAACATCAGCGTTGAAAATTCTTCTGTGTGTGGTCACTGTCAGGTACCTATGCTACGTGTTTACCCTTTAAAGAATCACTTCACAAAAGTTTCTGAAAATTGACAAGTGAAAATATTTCCAGAAAACTCTGTCTCACATGAAGGGCTGAGTTTTTGGTCAAACACAACATCCTAAGTACCTTTCCTAAAAAATCTGATTCTGGCAGATGAGCAGATTGTACATTAGAGTGTAAAAGCCAGACAGTATAACTTTTAGGGAGTTTTCTCAAGAAAAGAAATGATCTGCCTGCATTGAACTCAACAGTCACATTTTTTCCCTCATGGATCTGGGCCCCTGTGAAGCTAGGAATCATCCAGCTGTCTCTTAAATCATGCCACACTACCCAGTTGCCAGGGAGAGAAGGCAGCATTTAGTCAGGTTTTCGACCAGCTTTTGTTGAGCATCTCACTCCCACTAGCAAAGGTTCCAGACATCCAATCTGTAGTTGCCACAAGAAATGATGAGAACACAAAGGCAGAGAGTGTTACGGACCAGCAGTTAGGTGACGTGATAAATGCTGTCCTCCCACGCTGAGCCTGGGAACCCGTCAGTCTCAAGAGACTTGCTAGTGCTGAGCCTGTGGAGGTGTCTCAGAACCATGCTGGCTCTTCCTCCCACTCCACCCTAGCTGGATCAGTTCCCTCTCCTATATACTTCCCACTTCTCTCTCCCCAGGTCACTGCCTTGTAGCCTTTCTTAAAGGGACAGTGAGAGAAGTAATCCTTAAGTAAGCCTGTGGGTTTTGTAAAATGGCAGTTTCTATGTTGGCATATTAGAGAGCGAAAACGGTGCTGGTGTTTTATAAAAATAACCAAATAGATAAAAAAATATGTTAAATATAAGCATACAAATTCTTTAGGTGACAGGCCTGTCATGTAGTGACTGACACATCTGAGGTCTTTAAGGACAATATTCATTTATTCTGAGCCCCTTCACAATTTATGAAATGTCTGTATTCAACAACCTGTGTTGTAAAATTCTAACCATTCTTTTCTTCCTGTGGTGATAATAACTACTATGTAGTCCCTTAACAAGAAAAAATAATGAGTTGCTACTTAAAGGTCATTGGATTTAATTTCTTATCCCATTCAACACTAATGAAAGATTTTAAAAGAAAGAAAAAGGAAAAAATGCCCTCTAGTTCATAATTGTTGAGACAAGTCATTATCTAGTTAATATCAAACAAGGATTCAAAATTGGGTTTTTTTCATAAAAATCATTAACCTATTTTCTCTTAGCTGAAATTTTTTAAAAAAGAAAAAAGGCTTGTGGCCAATTTTAAAAGACAATACAGGTTCTTCCCAGGGGTTGTTTGTGAAATGCAGGATTTGACATTCTTCTGATGATTTAGTGTGACACAGAATTTTTATTATTATGAAATTTAATGGTTATTCAAGAAAGATTAAGCATAGTTAATAGGACTAATTCCTAAGCCCAGAACAACCGTTTCTTTATTAAAACAAGGGAGCAGCAATGACTTGGAACGACTCATCACATCAGATATATTGGCCTTTAACCTTCTATCAGAACTTCACAAGAACAAACGCAGTTTGTTTATATTTAATGTGAACTCCAG